TTACACACACACACATAATTCTCTTTATTGCAGTGACCACATTTAATCCAGTTGCCATATCCGCTGGCAGCTACTGAGTCATTAGCATAATTATAACATGCTGAGATTTTGGGGATGAGCGTGTCATTCTCTCCAAAAGCATTGTCATGCTGCCTCACTTGTGGGATCAATCTTCAGTCACATTCCCATCTGCTCCCTGAATACTATAAATTGCATAAGTGGAGGAGTCCATCCTCTCAATGAAAGATTTCTAAAGAGCCGGCTGTCTGTTGGCCTTTTCACCAGCTTTTTCCTCCTCTTCAGCTCGATATAGTTTCTACAACATCTATACAACTGTGTGCACACTTCACACTGTGCATTTAGAGCCTTGGAATAATCAGGGTTGGCTTGATAATGCACCTGTACTAGTGACCTTTAGGTGAGGCAGTAATTGGATTTCATGGTCGAGAACTGACAACAGGGGATTTGACTTGGAGCCCATTACTGAGAAACTCAGGGTTCTGAATAACTAACTCGGTGGCATTAAAACATACACTTGTGGAATGAAATGTTGTTTAAGGATGTGCTGTGTGTATACTGTATGTGGGTAGAATAGTGGAAACCTGTGCTTTCTCTAATTGGAAAATACTGGAACACTTTAACAATTAGAGTAAGATTAAGAAAGTGTAAGTAAGAGACAGGTCATCCTCATGAGTGACTTATGATGTACGATACAGGTATGTAGTGTTCATACACTGTTGAAGCTGTCAGCGTATAAATGGAGTGGTAGGACCAAGGGGGGAACTGGGACAGGCCCTTTAGCTGCTTGTGATGTCTGAAAGTCCACAGAGGAAAAAAAGGCTATAGGATTATGTTGGCTCATGTGATTCCCCCACTTTATTAATATAAACTGCGTCATAAAAAATATTTTTTTCTAATTATAATCATCACTTTTTCTGTATCTGTGCTAAAGAGAAAAAATAAACTAGAATAGCACTCAGTAGAGCTCATAACTCCACCAAGGGCCCTATCGCTCAATATTAAAGTGATAAAAAATGTCTCTATCTGCCCATTTGTCAGCAACTGCAACAAAATGTTTTACCGTACAATGGCTGAAAAAAGTTTAACCCCCCTATGAAAACAAACATATCACTCATCAACATCAGTTATTCATCCAACAGTGGATATCCACTCCTTTTTTGTGTAATCCTGCTGACAAACAGAATCATGGCACTCACTAGAGCGCATACCTCTGCCAAAGCCCAACAGTCCCCTCAAATTCAATCAAGCTGCACCACATTTCACACACTCAGAGATATCAGCCCCCTTAAAAAGGCCTGATTATGTACTTGAATGTCAAGGAAATATTCCCTGGGAAGATGATGAAAATATTGAGAATGATAAATATAGGACAGAATATAGATAGATAAAGTGATGAAAAGTGTCTGGCTCCGCCCCCTGATCCAGATCCATACCAAAAGTAATCAGTAAATCTTCCCTATCATTTGCTTGGAAATCAGTTCAGTTGTTTTTGTGTATTCTTGCTTACAAACAAACCAACAAACAAAACCTCCTCTCGTGGTATTAAAAATAACCCACAATCATTGATGGAATCAATTTAGCTGCAAAATTTGAAACATCGTATCTAATGTAACTGTTTCTCAGATGAGACCAATTTCCATCTGGACTTTAGAGTCCATGCATCCTTTAGTGAGAGAGATTTTCCACAGCCAGGGAACAGACATTTATAATGCATTCTTTAAACGAAGAGCCCCATCAGCAGATCCCTCCAGTCTGATGCCTCAATCTTCTTGCCAATCTCATTTTTAATTTATCTTGCTCTGCCCCAACAAATGTGGTGCGATAAAGTACAATTTGACATTAGTCCTTCGAAGCTGCAGTGGGCAGCAAAGCGAGGAAAGAGTGGATTGGCATGGGTCCCATTCCCGAGTCAATCCCCCAAACTCCATGAAGTGCTTTTCATTTGTCTTCTGTTTAAGTTCATCTGAGCTTTATGAACGAGCTTTAAAATGAGTGAGGATCTGCTCTGCCAGGAAGTGTGAGGAATCCTAATGGCTTCTTGATGTTGCCTCAGCTCTACATGGACGAGGCAAAGGAGAATCAGCTCTAGCCCTTACCTTTCTCTATTTTTATCTGATGCCTTTATAGTTACTGCTTACTTTAAACCCCCCTCTATTCTACTCTGTGTATATTGATGATAGTAACTAACAAGGGAAGGTGGATTGTGTTTTGTTGTTTAAGTTCTTCTGAATAACACTTTGAAGCCAATATGAGATGACCTTTAACACTGCTAAGAGGTGTGTGTGTGTGTGTGTGTGATTTCCTTTGACATTTTATTGTAAAAGGTCGCAGCACTTTTGAGTTTTGTTTTGTTGGTTCTGTACCAAAAATCAAAACTATAACTAGAGTGGTGAAACAGATTTCGATATACTTGATACTTTTTACATTTCTTTATTACATGGATGTAAACTGCAGCTTGCTGTTGGTTGAGACAGACAGCTAGGAGGCGGAAATGCTTTTAATTTAGGCCAACAGTTACCTAACATGTTAATCTGCAAATCCTAATGCTTGATACCTGAGATGGCTACAGGACGTGTGTTCAGGGTCACCACTAACATCCTATTGGCCATACAAATAGTTATAGTACCTACTAGTCAAAAGTCAAAGTCAACTTAATTGTTAATTCTGCCATGTGTACAGGGCATAGACAGGATTGAAATTCCGTTTCTCTCTCATCCCCGGTGTAAACATAAGAAAAGACAGAACATATAAGTACACAACATATCAAGTATTCAAAACATTACAGTACATAGTACAACATAGTATGTCTAGGCTGCACATTGGATTCAGCATCTTGCTCAAGGACACTTTGACAACCGTGCGATTAATGAATGACTCCCTGTACCACCTGAGCTACAGTCACCCACGTCTTGGTTTGATTCAATTTACTTTGTTGCAACCAGTGTTGACGTCTTTCTATTACTTCAGTGGCTCCATGAAAAATTACCGTTGATGCCTCATTTGGGAGCTTATTGGTTTGCAGCAGTGTTTCGTTGCACGGGACTCATCTTCATGTAAACAACACAATCAATGTCTTCCAGGAAAAGCCTGGTCAAAATGTCCAAGAAACAGACAGCAATTTGCGGCTTCCACTTTTAACAGCAACTCTTTAGGCCAAGACTCTTCCTCCTGTTCACCTTGCTCTCTTTACAGTCTGACTGGTTTCTCTATCACACAAAACACCACACAAAACACAAACAGTGAAATCTTCTGTGGGTGTTTTGGGTCCAGGCAACATTTTGGCTAATCTCTATTAACAGTTATCTGCAGATGGATGCAGATAAATGAAAAAGCTTTGTATATTCACAATCTGTTTATAGAGATTAGTTTTAGCATAACTGTATTCTTAAATTATGGGGTGCCTTAAAGAGTTTGACCCTGAGTATAGCTTCTTCTCCCAAATCCTTGCTAATGGATCTGTTGTGAGATGGTGAACAGTAAAAAAAAAAAATAAGAAACACCCCTAATTTAAGCACATGTCATCTACATTCATTAATGGATTCTGTATGTTGCTTTAACAGTGAATACTTGTGTTGTTTGTGTGATACCATCAAATACTTCACAGATGTACAGCAGACGAATGCTCAAAATATCAAAGAGAATCTCCAACAGGCTTCACACTGTGAGTTTTTGTGTGTGTGTGTGTGTGTGTGTGTGTGTGTGTGTGTGTGTGTGTGTGTGTGTGAAGCATAAAACACTGAATGCAGCAGTATTTAAATATTAACATCAAAGTTCTACCTTTCCACAAACTGTATATTTGAGTGCTTGTGGGACTGACGAACAAAGGCGTCTTCTCGCTGAATTTTTCGAGGAAAAAAATAATCCATAATGCAAAACAAGAGTTCAATGATGCAGTTTGATGTGTGACCTCGAAGAGTCGTTCTCCCATAGATTTTAGATGGCACTTGTCAGAGTACGAGTCTTTTGTAGTCTGCGCTGACAGGCTTGGACTGTGACAATGGACACGACAAAACAAAAGAGAGAGAGTGTTTGACGGGTTTTAATCTTCACCTAACAGGGACAACAAGAGATAAAAGAAATAAACTCTAGCATGCATCCATCCATTATCTATACCGCTTATCCTTTGAGGATCGTGGGGTGAGGTGGAGCTTATCCTAACCAACATAAAGAGACAAACAACCATTCACACTCACATTTATAGTCTTCAATTAACCTAACCCCAATCTGCATGTCTTTGGGCTTTGGCAGCAAGCCGGAGAAGCCAGAAAAGCCAAGTGTATGTAAACTCCACACAAAAGACTGCACTCACATAAATAAATAATTGTGCAAAGGTACTCCAGTGCAAACACACACACACACACACACAATAGTGTGTCCAAGCACTGATCAAACTCCTCGGTGTGGACTCTGCAGTGTTATCAGACAGGACACATGGAGAGTGTATGGCTGTTTGCAGAGGCCCGTGGTGAAAAGAGCCCTGATCCAACATTGTCAGAGCCTCTATTCGACTGCGGGGTGTTATAATAAAAAAACAGTGACTGGAATATGGATGAGTGGGATCCTGTGGTGATTAAAATGTGCTAAAGCCAGTGCCTTTGTGCTGCACTCCAAGGTGTGTGTGTGAGAGGCAGATGAGAGATAGAGAAAGTAGGCCAGAGAAGAGTAAAGTAAGGTGGAGCTGCTTGCTGATACTTTACTGGCCTGAGCCTGCACACGAGTTGCCCTCAGGCGCTGGCTCTCCATCAGATTATTTTAACCTGATTCGCAATGCAGCAGGGTAAAGCCTGATCTTCAGCTCTCTCTGCGTGTGTGTGTGTGTGTGT